ATATAAGGTCAAGCGACCTCACACAATACAGGGAACCATTTCTCAACATTAGAAAATTGGTTTCAAGGTAAATAACTGGAGCACATTTTATGAGTAAAATTGAGTTTAGTTTTTTGGACCTTTTCATTCTGGATATAATCTCCGTAAATCAATGCATAAATCCCAATACAACCAATCAATTTAGTCTGCATGAACATTTTGAAAACGTTTCAATTTCAACAATGAAAATTGTGAACGTATATAAATATATGAATTTGATAAAATATCACTGTTGTTTTTATAATATTTTCTTTCATTAATTAAATAAAATACTTTTTAACACTTTTTAAGTTTTAGCAACCGGCAGGATAACAACATTGTGACTCAGAAGACTTGAGAAAACTGAAAATAAATAACAATTCACTGGAGGACGAAATTTGGTTAGCTTCTTACGATGCATTGAGGATTAAAATTTTCAACTAATGCGTTAAGTGCTGACCAGTCAAGTAACCTATCAGAACAATCTCCGCCCAAAATTTTACGAATACCATCAATAAATTGTCTCTAAAATCAAAAATATAATACCAAAAATAATTTTAAATTTTACAAAAATAAAAAAACATTATACGTCACTGGAAACTTGCAATTTTAATAATTTTTCTTTCAAAGGAGCAATAACAGAAGACAGATAATAATGAATTCTTATTAAATTCACTAAAATTTTAGTAAAAATACACCATTTTACGGATATCCTGGTTTTATATATGCGTGTGTGTTTTGTGTGTACATGTATGCTAATACAGATGCAATTAGTATATATATATATATATGATATAATTAGTGTATATATATATAGATATATATATATAGTATAATATACAAACATATTTGTAATATATAAAATATATAGGAAACAATGTATCGGAACTTATGTACGGTTGAATCATGACTCTACACGTAAATGTGTAGGTTTTTTTTTGTTTGTGTATGTATAGGTAGGCCCGCAATGGTCTGAAATACGAAAGATCGAAGTGCTGGATAGGTTTATAAAATCGAGGAGGCATACACATTCGAATTAGGAAAATAAATATCATTCTTGGAAACTGTCAACCATCCCTGCGGAGCAATCTGTAGGATGATTTGGAATCAGTGGAAAAGTTTTCTGAATTGATAACGCAGTGGCTTCTTACAGTGTAACCTACGCTTTTTAGAGAAGTGTCTTGTCTAGTAAACTCGATCTAAAATACCACATTTTGTTCATAAAAAAAAAGAATTCTCTTTATTATTGATTTTATGAGTCCTCTACTTAGTTTACCATTCACTTCATTCTAATAGATATCTTAAAAAGTGACTTGAATGCCACTTTAAGCACCTGCCATGCTAGGTTTAAAAAACCTCATCTTTAAATCTAACAAGTCTATAAAACTTCAAAACCTACAAAAATTTCAATGTGTGGTTTGTCCCCAGCGAAAGCACGAAATGCGAACCTACACATTATAATTAGAGCAATATCTTGATTTTAAGCACCTGCTGGGACCAAGAGCCTCGAAAATCTTTCCGCACAACCTAACATGTGAAGTGGCCAAGCAGTGGCATTTCCCCTAAAATTACAAAATATTCTTGCCGTTTCAGGTGGCTTAAGAAAAGTAAAAGTTCTTATATTCTTTGATTTAAAATATTTTTTGTCGAGCATTTAAAACACAATCTTCATACAGCCAGTAATGCAATTTGAAAGTTATTGAAAATGGTTTTCTTTTGGCGATTAAATTTTAAAATATTCACAACAGCTTTACAGAGAGCGTAGCACGGCTCTTTTTCTTCATTGCGGACTAGTTTAAATAAATGAAGATTATTTCATCTATCGTTTGATTAGTAAATTATTAATTAATAAATTACCAAGCAAGCCAAATGCTTATTTTATAATTTTAGTATATTGGCTTTACGGAGGTCCCCCATTTAAACAGAGGTTCGGGGCGTCCGCCCCCTCCATTCTCGATACGCCACTGCATATAAAATAGATAAATTTTTAATATTTTAATAAATTAATAATAAAAGTTTTAATATTTAACACGACAGACCGTGCTCTCTTACAAGCAAGTTCACATATTCATACACGTATAGGGAAGGGAATGTGTTTAGAAGACGCATTATCATTAGCGCGTTAAAAATCGCGATAAAAATAGTAATATAAAACAGACTCATATGGCTAATGATTTACGTTGGAAGATCAAATTTCTCAATCTACCAAACATTTCAAGTAATTCGATACCTCTCGATTGTATTTTTTAAACTAACTTTTAAATTTTTTGCGTATGATTTCATGTTTCTGTTTATTTAAACATCAGCGAGTATGATGTACAGGTTCAAACGTACATACATTTCTTTTAATTTAAACAGATAATATCATTCCAAAGACGTTGGGGTCTGAATATTAATTTTTTTTTCACTAAGTTTTACAAAGAAGTTTTCAAAACTAGTCGAAAAATTTTACGTTTGGTGGACTAAACCTCAAAATTTTCTAATCTTATTTAGTATCCACCGGCCCAAATGAAAAGATGTCTAAGTCCGAAGACATATAATTCAAAATATAGACAACACTGGGTGTTCTGGGGTCACCATTCCTTACTAGGGCTGAACCACTCAAGCCCTCCTCACAAGTCCCCCTCAAATTGCCTACAGAAGCCCTTAACTAGTAAAAATTTAGTTCCCTACATGATGAAATCAATATCATCTTTAATTAAGAACATTACTTTAACTAACTCCCTGGCTGAAATTTTAAGAATTACTAAAAGAAAAAATATCACATATTCATCTGAAAAAAATATTTATCACCCATACTAGCATCTCAACCTAGCATACCAACCAACTATAATTAATCTTCCAGTACATCAATCAATCTTCGTTTGGCGTCCAGAGAACCAGTTCCCCCGAGGTAGGACGTTAATCTTCCAGTATATATTTTTTTAGATACATCTTTCAACATTAATTAGCAAAAAATTTGAGGAAAAACACATACATTCATTTAATCTAAAGCCATTTAATAAGTTAATCATTAATAATTATACAAAGCCAACAAAATAATGTACATGTAAATAATAATTTAAAAATAAATGAATAATAACGACAACGAAACAAATAATATTAATAATAATAACAACAGTAACAACGATAATAATAATAATAAAGATGATAAATCAATAACATTCTAAACATCAGGCAGACAAAATGTTAAAATTAATTAACCACCCATTCCAACTCATTATATATATATATATATATATGTATATATATATATATATGTATATATATGTATATATATATATATATGTATATATATTATATATATATATGTATATATATATATGTATATATATATATATATATGTATTTATATACATATATGTATATATATATGTATATATATATATATATATATGCAATACAACCAGAGTTATACAATAACCAATCCATTATATGATACTTAATAACAAGCGAAAAAAATACCACAAAAACTCATTAATAATGTTAACAAAATAATTATTAATAGTATTATTATTGTGTAATTATAACTGCTTATATTATTATTGTTAGCTTTATTAACATTGCACGGCGAAGAATAAACATTGTTATCATTCTTTAGTAAAAAAAATGTATTACATACGGAACCACTAAACAAACACACACACACACACACGCACGCACACACACAAACACACTGATAAATAATAACATAAATAAATTAATAATGAATCATAAGTAGACAACAATATGCATACAGTACCACCATTTTTATGTAATTATTATAGAGTGAAATTTGAGTGGCTATCTCATTATACATATATATACATATACATATATATATATATATATGTATATATATATATATATATATATATGTATATATAAATTGTTGTTCCTATGTTGTTGATGTTATTGTTCTCAACATTTCTTAAATATAAGATTAATAAACAAATAAAAACAATGGCAATAATAATTAATAACAATAATAATTATTATTATTATTAAGATAATGGTAAAAATATCTAATTATAAAAAATAATATAATTATTATTAATATATGAAAATATTTCTGCCCTCGAGTTGATTGATTGATCGCAAGTTTAGCAGCTGGTTGAAAATTCGACAGACTGATTGACAGATCGATAGATTGATTGGCCGATTGAACGAACGAATGAAAGGAAGATGGATGAAAAGAATAAATGAATGAGTGAATGAATGAATAGTTGTTTATCCAAATTTCCTAAGTCATTGAGGAGGTTGATCTATACGTTCCCAACTACTTCTACTACTACTACTTAACTACCATAAATAATAATAATAATAATAATAATAATAATAATAATAATAATAATAATAATAATAATAATAATAATAATAATGGTAATAATAATAATAATCAAAATAATAATAATCATCGTCATAATTTTCTCCATTGCTCGGGTGAAAACAGAAAAAATAATATTATTTTCGTAATTATTTACTTAAAACTTTGAAATTATTAATTATAAATTACATTTCTGAATAATAATAATAATAATTTTTGTCTCGTCTCGTTTCACGTCACGGGCAAATTGTAATACTAATAGTCAAATAATGAATAACAACAATAATAATTCTTGCATAAATAACAATTAATAATAATAACAATAATAAATAAATAATTTCATCCCATTGATAAGTCAACCGCTTAGTTCGTTGTCTATATTTCTCGTTCAAATTATCAATTCATCTTTATCTATCTCACACACACACACACGCACGCACACACAACACACACAAACACATACACAGATATACACACACACCCTCAAACATTCGTATATATAAACACACACAAACACACACACATAATAATAATAAAAATAATAATAATGATAATTACACACATGCAATATTATATATATATATATATATATATATATATATATATATATATATATGATATTTATTAAATTCATAATATAATTTTTTTAATTATATACTCTTTAGTTTGAAATCCTCTAGACTTTAATTTCTTTTTGCAGATGCTGTAGGAACTCCAGGTAGGAGAATGAAGATTCCGTCCTATCTTCAACGAGGTGTTGGTAGAACATGTGGCGTAATTTTCCATCCTCTCTGCGTGTGTGTGTGTGTTTGTGGGTGTGTGTGTGTGTTTGTGGGTGTGTGTTTGTTTCTGTGTGTGTGATTGGGTGTTTTGTGTGTGATTTGGGATAGGTTGTTCAACCGACCAGCCAGTCAACCAACCAACCAATTAACCAAACAACCGGCCAATTAAACAACGAAACAACCAATTAACCAGTCAACCAACCTGATAAGCATGAGTGGGGCTTCGACAGTCCTCTTATGATTCAACTTCTCCACAAACTTCCTCACAAACAGTGACAGATTGTTGTCCAGCTCAGGCAACTCCAGCTAGACGATAGTTCAAAGTACTCATCATTCAGACGTTTTATCACTAATCAACTTCCCATCTGTAGCATCCTTTATAGCATCGAACCAGTAAAGTCAACTACATTACTAACGACTCTAATGTTACCAACACAGCTAAGATCCCCTCCAATAAGAAAACAATGAGAATATAGACTTAATTGAAGCAATAGGGTGAAAACCGCATGAAAATTAATTTCCTCTTACTCCGAGAGGATTCTAACAATTTATTAACATTAGCAGAGTAAGAAAACCCAAACAAAACAAAAGAGATCAACAAAGTTAATATAAACACGCACAAACGCACGAACAAACTTTACAATAAACAATAAAATAAACAATACAATAAACAATAAAATAAACAATACAATAAACAATACAATAAACATTACAATAAACAATACAATAAACAATAAAATAAACAATACAATAAACAATACAATAAACAATACAATAAACAATACAAACAAAACAGACAAACAAAACAAACAATCAAAAGAAACAAACAAGCAGACTAACATATCCTTCCGCGGTGCCAGCAAACGATCGGACGTCCAGCAGATGAGCGCAGAAGGCATCACTGATGGCAGAACCCAGGTAGAGGTACAAGTAGGACCCCGCGTCCATCACATACGCCCCGTGCCTGTCGATCTGATGGGAGGAGAGTGACGTCATCGAAGGCCGGATCACGTGATCTTCCTCGTCTCTTGACGTCAGCTAGAGGACAATATTTTTGTATGTAGATAACGTACAGGCAGATGAAAAACTGTTACAGAGGCGTATAAACGGAGCAAAAACAAATCAAACTCAATTTACATGAAACTATACAAATGAGAACAATAAACTTAAAAACGTACAAGAACGAAACGAACGCACATGCAAAAGACACACACACACACACACACACACACACACACACACACACACACACACACACACACACACACACACACACACACACACACACACACACACACACACACACACACACCTGTTCTTCAGTAAGATTATGCAGTGGATAAAGAGCAGGATAGATGTGTAGCAGGAGTTGCTTCAATGGGAGCCACTTGCATAGCTCCATGGCGTACACTCGATCATCGATCTTCGTCGAGATCCCAATCCGGAAAGCCATCTTTAGGGGTGAGCATGTGGTGAGTTGTGTGTCTCATATCTTGTATCCATACACTTAACAACCAAGGTAATAACTAGTTTTATTCTTAAAACACGTCAGCATAACCAACACTGACATACTGTATTTGTTGTATTATAAATCTAAAATCACTAATCGCAGATGTAAACAAAAAAAAGTCAAAACATAAAAAAAACCCACAAATTTGAGAAGGGCCAAAACCAGCAGAGGGATGTGCTTCAGTGACTGGGGGGCCAAAAGCTGGTTGGCCAATCTCTGACCCTGTGGCACGGAAGCTCTGTAGGCCTGCATGATGTCGAGGGCCGCGTACACCAATGCCTCCCTCGAATCACCCAGACCGACCGAGAGAGATTTATCGACGGCCATCTTGGATATCAGTGAAATTATTGTTCTTTGGTTGGCAGACGCCTGGACCTCGCTGAGAACCGAGGAAACCGGGATGCAGAGGGTGTGGACCCTGATTCGTCGTTCACCTTCATGGGTGGGGGTTGAGGTCGAGAAAGTTAATGGTGGTGTGATATTTGAGATGGATACGTGTATACTGTGACTGTGTTGGTGATGGGGCTCTTTCTAATTACCATGACATTGTGTGTTTAACATTTTTTTTGAATATTCTCAGAGTTTATTATAATGTCATATCAAGTTAACAGAGAATCAAATGAAAAGAAATGCAGGGAGAACGAAAAAAAATGATAGGCCATAATAGGAGCAACCGGACCAACCTTTACTGGAAGTATAGAGGAGAGCAGCCTGGAAGAAGACGTAGTTACTTTCCAGCGTGTCGTCGATGGACATCTGTAGGCCGAAACTTGCGTCCGGGTTGACGTTTGGAAGCGAAAGGAGGTCGGTCGATCGGACGAAACCATTGCCATGAAATGTGTGGATGTTCAGACCTGACGAAAAAGTACAGGCTTGAAGTGAAGGTGATGAGAGTCTGGTTTTTCATATAATGCACAACCAAAATAGGATTCTTAATAAGTTGGGGATAAGCATTTCATTTGCAGACTTAACATTAAACTAATAATCATGAAAAATATACTGCAAACTTCACTGCCAAATAAATGTCACAAAAAAAAATTAACACCACTAAGAACATAAAAATAAAAGTCTACAGAAAATTTAACAGATTTTTTAAGAACCGACAGAGAGGTCTCATCTAACTAACCCCGCGTGCAACGTACTCTCATGACAGCCTCGAACCCTATCTTCCTGGTGAGGTACCTCGTCAGTGCAGATCGAAACCTCCTCAACTCCGCCAGGTTCGTTGCTCTGTGGAAGCCAGGGAAGTAGTAGGTAGTGCCACTGGTGAACTTGCTGGCACAGGCTGTCACGTGTGTGTCAGAGAGAACGTTATCATGGAGAATTGCGAGGAAAGGTATTTTAAAAAATTGAATGGAAAATCTATTTGCTTGTAGTAACAAAATTCAGATGAGTCAAAATTATTGCAAAAGAGAAAATGACAAAAGACAAAAAAAACAGAGAATGAGAGAAAAAGAAAGAGTACCAAATCAAAATCTTGTTACATTTTCAAGTTGTCAGCGTAACTCTATCTGCATTTATCAACTGAAACCGTACAAAACAATACCTCATAACTTAAATACCTCGACCTAAAAAAGTACCTCCTCCTCCATACCAAAATACCCGACTCACAAATAGTGGCGATATCAGTGAACTGGGAATTGAGAAAGAAAATGTCGATGCAGATTTGTTGGGCTGAACATTCTAGGGCCAGCTTCTTGTAGAAGTCTGTCACTGGTCCCATGCCCTGTATGTTCTGTGTTTGTGTGTTTCGTTTGTATGTTTCGTTTGTTTGTTCCTTTGTTCCTTCGTATCCTAACTTTGTATGATCCTAACTTTGTATGCATATGTTTGCAGGATTTGTTTGTATGTCTGTTACTTTGTACGCTCATAACTTTGTATGCGTATGTTTGCCTGTATGTTTTATATGTTTGTTATTTAAGTATGATCCTAATTTTGTATGCTTGTAACTTTGTATGTTTGTTCCTTTGTATGGTTCTAACTTTGTATGCTTGTAACTTAGCATGTGTATATAATAGTATTATTTTTTTTAACTTTTTTCATCTACGTATTACGTTATCTCCATCTAACCTTGGAGACCCTTTCATTAGCATCCTCCCTGTTCTTGAGGGCACCTGCCCCTACGGTGGGTAGGTGGGTCTGCAGGACTGTCACCCGACCCCCCGTCGATGTCTGGATGGAGATGATGATGGTGGTGGTGATGATGGTGGTGATGATGGTGGTGATGATGGTGGTGATGATAACGATTACGGTAATGATGATGGTGGGTGGGTGGTTTTTGATGCGATCAGTGAAACCCAAATTTTTTAAATTTTGAATGAGAATCTCGTTTGATGTTTTCAACTCATCAACACAACTAATCACCACTAACACCCTCTGTAAACATCTGAAAAAAAATTCCTAAACTTTTCAACTTTTCAAACGTTTGAATGACCAATAAAACTAATTAAGCCACTAAAATTATAAATTTCCGCTCCAAATGATTGCTTAACAATGTCTATTAGAGGCACCTTTCATTGTAAACATTGTATGAAAATAAAATTTGAACAGATTTAAAAAAAAGAATTTGAAAAAAAAAACAAATTTCGCCTACCATCATCTTGTAGGCCACCTCAAGGGCAGTACCCAAGCAACTGCCCACTTCGGTGTTGTTGGAAAACATGGCGGGAAGTTTCTCTAGAAGGTCAAGGACGATGTCTCTGGATTCTTCGAGGTTCACTAGCAGTCCATCTGGACATGGGATGTCTGCATCTGGAGGTGTTGTGTTGCGTGCCATGTTGTGTTGTGTGGTATGTCGTGTGTGTGTGTGTGTGTGTGTGTGTTTGTGTGTGTGTGTGTGTGTGTGTGTGTGTGTGTGTGGTGTGTCGTAAGTGATGTTGTGTGGCGTGTGTGATGAAACGTTATGCGATCCGCCGCTGTGATATTATGTGACGCCAGATGATAACGTGATGTTAAAGAACAGGAGAACTTAAAACAACAAATGATAACACAGAACGAAAATTCGAACCTTCCAGATCGGGCATACATAGGATCTGAGGTTGATTATGCTCGTCGGAGAGATTGAAGAAATAGACAGAAGTGTCGTACGCGATGAATCCTATCTGTTTCCTGCTGTCTCCGGGAATTCTATCCAGTTCTTTGATCAGGATCTCGCAGAATTCACTCAGGTATCCTGTCTCGACGGCGTTGAACGACACGTCGAGAAGATATAAATAGACTGCCGGCTGAGGAGGTCGCAGCTGATTGGTTGGAGAAGAATAAAAATACATACATACATACATCCATCTATACATACACATATATACAGACAGACATACACACATACACATATATACAGACAGACATACACACACACACACCCATACATACATACATAATACATCCATCCATACATACACATACAGACACACACACACACACACACACACACACACATACATACGTAATTCAATTCATGCATAAAATCTACAAGGCTTTTAACAGGTCCAAAAGTTAGTTCTTGATCAAAATAAAATATTCAGTAAAATACTAAAAACAGAAAACATCGGCTCGTGCAACTGTAATCACAATAATAGCATCAATAGCAACAACCACAGCGGCAACAACCACAGCGGCAACAACCACAGCGGCAACAACCACCAACCATGTAATCAGTAGAGGCGACATATTCAACAGTGGCCACCTTAACCTCTGGTCGCTTGTGGGGCTCGATGTATGTGTTCGTCGTCGAGTCGTAACAAAAGTCACTTGGTACTGTTTTTTGATGTTGTTGTTTTGTTATTTTGCTGTTTTTTGTCGATGTTGTTGTTTTGTTATTTTGTTGTTGTTTGTCGATGTTGTTGTTTTGTTATTTTGTTGTTGTTTGTCGATGCTGTTGTTTTGCTTTATGATTTCGCCATTTTTCACTAATACCTTTCCTGATAAATTATGGCTGGATAGTTAGTCTATTGTTTGCCATTCGCTAATGTTGCTACATTACTAATAAACTATTGTTTGTTTGTTTGTTCGTTCGTTTGTTTGTTTGTTTGTTGTAGTAGCTTAATGTTGTTTTTGTTTAGGCTTATACTGTTGTAACTTTCATGCCAATGTCATGTGTGTTGTTGTTGTTTGCCTGTAATAACCTTCATTCAAACTTCCTAGCAGTAGTTGTTCATGCTCAGATGTTGAGTAAAATGATACTACAAGAGTGGAAGTTACTTATGATTGCATAGTTGCAGTCAGCTAGCGATATCACCAAACTAAACTCCCATCACACTCAACTCGAACAATAATAACAAGCTAACAATCACAGTTACAATCTTGTGACCCTTACAAATAATCACACAGACATCATCTGAACTTTCATCAGCACAACTGCAATCACCCAAATCTGTAGCTTTCATCACCATAATCATCAACCAACAGTCAACAATTTTCTCAATTAAATCAGATCCAAAATCACCATAGATAGACGAAAACTTAGAAGAAACCAATTTTCAAAGGCGTACAACAGTAACAACCGATTTGTTTTCCTCAACCATATCTTATTACAACTATACAGAATATTTCAAGCTAGGATAAAGTTATACGCTCCTAATATATCCGGAACAACTCTCTACCTCTAGCCACCCCCCAAACCACCGACGAACATTCATTGGCTTTGAAGCAGATGTTGCACTTCCACCTGGAGGGATCGACGAAGACGACGAACGGATTGATGTAGGTGCGGCACGATCGACACCTCACAATGGAGCAGGACTGTATGACCTGGAGGTTCTGTCAGAAAAATGTTGGCAGTGGTGGTTTAATTTAATGATTGATTGATTGACTGACTGATTGGTTGGTTACTTGGTTGGTTGATTGATTGATTGATTGATTGATTGATTGATTGACTGATTGGTTGAACTATAGATTGAATAATGGTAGCTGTTTAATTCAATTTGTAAATTATTAGGTAATCTGCTTGCTGGCAAATATGATCAGTCAAGTCGAGTGATTGATTGAATGGTTGACTGATTAAAAGATTAAATGATTGACGGATTGATTGGCTAATTGATTAAATAAATGATGAAGAGCTAATTGAATCTACTGACTGATTGAATAATTTGAAAAATGATTGACAGATTATCGTCCAAAAGGTTAAGAGACTAACAGACAAATCCTTGAATGGATGTACCAGAAGACCGAGAGGTAGTCTGGTCTTCTGAAGCAATGAATTACTATTGGGCATGACATTGGCAGTGCAAGACATCAAACTGGAATCATGAATTTGAGTGAGGATCGACACCGTCATCAACATATTCCAATAATCATCATCATCATCATCTTCATTACCATCGTCATCATCAGCCTAACAATCACTACCATCGTTATCATCAACAACATCATCATCTTCATATTCATCTCTACCATCATCACTATCATCATCATCATCATCCTCCCAAAGGGGTGACTCAACTCACTCGGGGTGGCAGTTGGTCTTCCTGACATCGTGCATGGAGGGCGTGGCGACCTCGAAACCGTCTTTCGGAAGGATATTCCTCTCTTGCAATAAGTTGTACACTGCTACTTCAGGAACCTTCATAAATAATAATAATAATAACAATAATAATAATAAGAAGAAAATAACGAAGAAGAAAAAATAAATGTTATTACCACAAAAAAATGATAAACATTTAATCAATAGCTGTAGTAGCAGTTGAAGGAGCAACGATCATATACCATAAGAATGACAAACCTGGTTCAGCCCAAGCCCACCGAAACTGTTCTGCATTGAATTTATCTGCTGCTGTGCTTGTTGTTGCAGCTGCTGCTGTTGCCACGGTTGCTGTGGTTGTGGCTGCTGTTGCCAAGATTGTTGTTGTTGTTGTTGTTGTTGCCATTGTTGTTGTGGCTGTTGTTGCGTGGATTGTTGCTGTTGAGGATGTATTTGTTGCTGCTGCTGCTGCCATGGCTGCTGTTGTTGTGGTAGTGGTGGTGGTGGGAGATGCACTTGTTGCTGCTGTTGCCATGGTTGCTGTTGTTGTGGTGGTGGTGGTGGATGCACTTGTTGCTGCTGAAGTTGTTGCTGAGGTGGTGGTTGCAGAGCAGGTCGAGAAGTAATTGGTACATAAGGTTGGTCGACGGCAGGAGGTTGAGGAAGAATAGCCTGATGTTGTGAATATTAATTAGATCGATTTATGTTAATTTAAGTAAATTTATGTTAGTGAGAAACTATGGTAAGACATCTTAACTTATAACCAAACTAATTAAACAAAAAATTAATTGACTAGGTAAATAATTTGTCAATTATTGAAATAGTAATTTGTACCTGGGCTGGAGGAGGGTAGAATGCAGGTCGGGGCTGGTGTGGTGGTGGTAGAGGAGGGAACTGCTGAGGCTGATATGAAAACTGTGGCTGCATTGTTGGCTGCTGTAGATGCTGAGGCAGTTGCTGCTGTTGGGACAGATGTTGATTTTGCTGTTGTTGTTGTTGCAACGGCTGATGTGACTGATGCAATGGAGATGGCTGTCGAATAAATGTTGGAATTTTTGGTGGTTGTTGCTGTGAAGTGGTTGTCGATTGTTGTGGTGGTGGTGATAGTGGTGGTGTAGGCTGCCGTGGCATCATAACTGGAGCTTGAGTAAAAAGAGGTCGTTGTTGATGTAGTTGTTGAGGCTGTTGTGGCTGTTGGATCTGTTGTGGTTGTTGGATCAGTTGTGGTTGTTGAAGTTGATGTGGCAACGTTGTAGAGAGAGTCTGCGGCTGCTGTTGTTGTTTCTGTAGAGAGGGAAGTTGTTGATTTTGATGAAAATATGAATGATGTTGGAACTGTTGTAACTGCTGAAACTGTTGTTGATGCGATTGTGAATGTGGTGGCAATTGTGGCTGCTGCTCTTGCTTCAACAAAGGTTGCTGCTGTTGTTGTGGTAATGTTGGCTGCTGATAATGTTGCTGTTGTTGTGTTGAACGTTCTAGTTGCTGTGGAACTTGTTGCGACAAATGTTGCAGCTGCTGCTGAGAATGTTGTCGTGACAGATGTTGCTGTTGTGGTTGCTTTTGCAGCTGTTGTGTCGGCTGCAGTGGAGTTGGCAAAGTTTGTACTTCCTCAGATGAGACCAAGCCCTGATCATCAGCTACAGATGGAATATTTGTAATGAATAACATTGCATATGTATAAGTTTCATTGATTAGAAATTTTTCAAATAAAAAATAAATTTAAATTTTAAAAAGTATGAAAAAAAATCTACAAAACCTTGCAATGGCATTTGATTGTTGGTAGAGTTAGTAGAACTGTCCAGGTTATTGTGAGAGGGCAGGGAAGCTGGTGTGTGTGACCTCGATGTGTCATGAGAACCTGTGAGTGTGTGTGTACGTGTGTGTGGACATATGTGTGTGTGTGTACATGGTGTGAGTATATGTGCATATTCATGCTGTAAAACTGCAAAAAACCACAGATTATCTTGTCCCAATAAAAAAATTAATGCTGGTTTTAACCATCTAAATATGGTATGCACATTTCTGAAATAATATGTTCAGACTGACACACTTTTACACGTGTCAAAGATGCATAGAGAAATAAAAAATATTAATAAGCAATGAACTAGCAAATGGAAAAGGAAAAATATAAACAACACAAAATATATGCATACAAGACATAAACAAACAAGAAGATATAAATGAAGGGTGATAGTAAAAAAAAGGCATTACCAGGAGTTGAACCCGGAGCCGAAGAACCACCGAGCGTAGGGAATGGTGATCCTGATGCAGCCTCATTGAAAGGCCCATTGAAACTTGAATTCCTCTGGGGCAGTGGTAGAGTCTGTGCTAGTGAAGGAATCGGTGAAAACGATTTTACTAGACCGCCAGGTGGAAGAGGAGGCCTTGAAAACATTTGTTGAGTCGTCTGCTGGGTCTTTGAAAATACTTGGGTAGTATCTGTGGCTGTCTGACTGGTGTTTAGCGCCGTCTGGTTGCTATTCGGTGCTGTCCGGTTGAATTGGAAACTACTAATGTCAGAATTTGTGATGATGGGTGTCGGCTGGAGAGGTGCCATGAGTTGGAAAGCCATTGTTGTGGGTCCAGAAAACATCATTGAGGCTGCAGACTCTGTGTTGCTGACTAGAGGCATACTGGCACCATTCGCTAATGACTATCAAAAAAGGATATTTTATTTTAATAATTTTTTAATTAAGAATATTCATAAATTTTAATTATTACAGAAATCTATATCGTAAAACCATTTCTTAAACGAAATGGTAGGGTCAATTAACATACAACTTCAAAATTCACCTCTAATATAATTTATCATAAGAGCTAAAAAAATTTAACAGAAATTTTTAGAATAGTGCTGGACCTGTGAGACAGAGTTTTGAAAATGATTATTAATGCCCGAGTCCATGATAGTTTGATGTGCAGATGGAACAGTTGATGGTGGATACGATGAATTCATGTGACTAGCTGGTAAATTTTTCTAATTAACAATTCATATTAAAATTTAAATAATATATTTAAATAATCATAATAAATCAGTGATCAACCAAATTGTATGGCAATCATTAATGATATTCAGCAGATGATTTCATGATTAGACTAGCACTAGAATGTACAACTGTCAAGTCAGTCATGTCATGTGTTCCTATATTAAAGTCCTATCGATTCAATCAATCAGAGTACCATCATCTCACTGTTACCAACATTATCCATAGGTTATTATATTGTTATATTATTTGCCACTATTATTTATCAGCTTATTATTAATCAAATCATTATTTTATTTATTACATTGTCACAGCTTAGGTCTTATTAAATTATTAATTAAAGAATTTCCTTTTCTAACTATAACACATACTTTGAACATTTAATATTTAAAAACATTTGCCTTTTGAGAAAATCAGAAATTAGAAAATAACATGTTTTTAATTTAAAAAATGTTAGAAATAAAGTCAAATGAAATAAGCCTAACTAACCACTAAACTAACTGACAGTATCAATTACAGTGATTCTTATTGTTGGACTGCTGTGTGGACATGTCGTAAATCCGACAGTTATTATGATTAATAGGCAGATTTTCTGATTTTAAACAAACTGGCGATAAACTAAAATAGTAAAACATCTAATCCGAGTGCGAAATTCTTGTCGGATTGTGCTACTAATTAACAATTTTTGCTCTAAAATTAGGAAAATCATACATAAACAAACGGAACTTGTGCTTTGAGCTGACCTGCGCACTATTCATACGTGGCATGGAGATTAAATGTGGATGGAAGTTTAAATTACTTTAATTAATTTATTTCTGCTGATTTTTCATCATTAAATAGTTTTTAAAGGGTCTTGTTAATGAATATTTAACAATTATTGAAAAAAAATTATAATTCATATTTTTTCAGAGGATTTTACTCCTTTAAACTAGAGCATCTTACCAGGCAAACAATCAGATGACCATTTATTACCACCCTGCTTATTTATTGGTAAAATAAAAAATTGACCAATAAAGACATACAATGTAATAATAATGATTTTTGATACTTGAAGATGAATACTCTATGTTACAGTAGTTAAAGGTTAAAAACTTGTAAGAGTGGCAAACATTTTTTCCAGATTATATCAATACTTTATATCTTTCATCTTACTCCTTCAATCCTTTTCCTTTTTTAATACTATTTTTATTCTCTTTCTATTCTCATGGCATATTGAGCATCTGTCAACTTCTATAATTTTTTCTACTTTTCATGGTTTTTTTTTCTCAACTCTTGTCTATTTTTCTTGCTTTGCACTTTCTCTCTCTCTCTCTCTCTCTCTCTCTCTCTCTCTCTCTCTCTCTCTCACTCTTTCACTCACTCTTTCACTTACTCTCTTTCTCTCTCTCACCCTCTCTATCTATCTTCCTATTTCAGTTTATTCTTCCTATTTGTTCTCCCCATAACTTTTCCTTAACTCCTCCCACTTTTTATTTTTTATATGTTTCGAGAATGTTCGATTGTCGTGCGCCATCGTAGTGCGATCGATGCTGGAACCATAAAAAGAGTTCATTCATCCATCTATCCGTCCATTCATTCGTCCATTTATCCGTCTATCCACTCATCCATTCGTCTATCCATCAGTTGATCCAGTAGTTTATCTATCCGTCTAACAATCCATCCATCCATTCTTCCACTCATCCACGCATAGACCAATCACATCCATCCATCCATCTATTCACTCATCCATCTAGCCATCCGTCTATTCATCCATCCATCCAATGATCCATCAATCCATCCATAAAAGTTTTGTTTGTTTGTACACTTCAGTCAGTTTGTACAATGAATGTGTATGAGTTGTATAAGTTTTACCGGTACATGTTTAATTTGTGTAAATGTGTGTATGTGTGTGCAAATTTGTGTGTACATATGTGCGTGTGTGTGTATGTATGTGTGCATGTATGTGTGCATGTATGTGTGCATGTATGTGTGCGTGTGTGTGTTCTTTGTGTACGTGTCCAGAATGTGTGTGTGTTTATCTATTACAATTTTTCTACTTTGTGTTGGTTAAAGGGTTAAAGGTCTTATAAACTCTTCCAAAGTTTACAGGAGTCGACAACACACAAGCCACACACAACACACACA